TTGGCCCATGTTTATGTTTTGGCTGGCGTCTGTCCATCCGCAGGTATAACTTACTTGGCACCAGTGCATTCCTGTAGTAATACTGTACGTGTGAAAACAAGTTGAATTCTTAAAAAAAAAACATTATTTGAAATTTCAACAGAGCCTTTCGGATTAACGAGCTGAAGACTGAGATCACCAACAGGCTAGCCATGCTGGAGAAGAGAGTAGAGCGTAAGTAGTGCATCTATTCAGTTTTTGTAGCTAATTCCTTTTTTTTGTTCGAGGGGAGGGGTCACTGAGGGCTGCAGTTAAGCCCAGGTGCCACTGGGGAGGGGTCGAGGTCTGAACTGGGCCACATTTGGAGACAAGCAACCGTCCACAGTCAGAAAGAAAGGCATTGCTTATGGTCAACTGAATGAACCAGTAACATTTAAACTGTGTTTGACACCCCCTGCAGGGAGGAAGGGGGAGGTACACTGTCTTTTTTTTTAACTTTTATTTTGTTAGAGATTTCACTGCATACTCAAACTTAACAAATACTCCCACCAACATTGTGACTTGTGTGTGTCATTCATATATTATAGTGGAGGGTCTGAAGGTGGTAGAGATCGAGAAGTGCAAAAATGATCTGAAGAAGCTCCGGGATGAGATGGCATCAAAAGGAGGTGGAAGGTGAAATTGAAATGTGCCATTTACCTCCGAGCACTGCAGTGAATTTCAATTCAGTTTTTACAAACTCCCGCTGTTTCTCTAATGACCCAGAGTTAACTGTCCGTGCAAATACAACTACTCAGACGACGGGAAGAAGGTCACCCCCCGACGTGATGTTCCCAATTATCCAAAGGTAATTCCCGTTTTCACCGCCCGGTTTCTCAACCCTTAATCAGAGCTAATGACTAGATCTATATTTGACGCTTTTTTATTCGGTACACACAGTACACGCTGTCGCAGGAGACTGTGGAGGCCCTGAAGAAGCCGACGTTCGACGTGTGGCACTGGGAACATAATGAAGTATATTTGACAGCAGTCCATTCACCATATATGGTTGTTCGGTTACATCGGAGGTGAACTCGTGTTTTTTTTTCTCTCCTTGTTGCGGTAGATGCTGAGCTGTCTGGAGTACATGTACCACGACTTGGGACTGGTGAAGGAGTTCAGCATGAACCCCATCACACTCAAACGCTGGCTGGTAAAATTGGTTTTGATTTAATGTAATTTAGGGCTCTGCACTTGGCACATTAATGTAACAACTCTCTGCTCCATAGCTGGCGATTCAGGAGAATTACCGTAACAACCCATTCCACAACTTCCGTCACTGTTTCTGCGTTAGCCAAATGATGTACGGCATGATTCACCTCTGCAACCTTCAGGTATGAGACCGGTTCTCATGGTTAAAAAAAAACAACAACATCTGAATGCTAACAACACATTCCTTTGATCGTTGCTGTGCAGGAGAAGCTGACTCTCACAGATATGGGCATTTTGATGACAGCTGCAGTGTGTCACGACCTGGACCATCCTGGTTACAACAACACGTAAGAGTCATTATTTTGTTGACCCTCCAATGAACCCCGGTTTGTTTTGACCTGATCTACACAACGTCAAAGTCAGTGAACTGTGAAACTAGTTTGACATGGAATGAAAACACACTAAATCACATTATCATGTCCAAAGTTTTTAAAGAAAGTATGAATCTTTCTTTACACGGCTGCGATACGATACGAAAACAGCTGCCGTCGGATGTGGCCCAAACTAATTCAGCAACAAAGCTGCTGAATACGATTCCTTTCCCTGTAGTACATATGCCAGGCCTGTATGGGGCGCTGTGGCAACCACATGCTTACATATAAAAACTGGAGAAATTTGTTGCTGAAGTTCTGAAAATTGGAAATGAATCCACAAAACATGCATATAAATTGTGAAAACTGCAAACAACCTTCAAAAAGAAGCACGGAAAGACAGAGATGGTTAACTGTAGCACACCTAACAGCCAAATTAGCTTCGGTTAGGTTGTAAGGTTACAGGGAGGCGGGTCGGACCATATCGTCTGAGTTTTCAAACCTCTCCACTCTGGGACCTGGACACAGAGAGCACAGGGTTCTCAACACTCCGACTTCGGCGCTGTAGCTGCAGAATCCGTCTTCATATCGTTGCCGTGTAAACAGGGCCTGAGTTTGAATTCTGGTGTCAGTATTTGTGATTCATCCTTCCTCTGTCAGGTACCAAATCAATGCACGCACAGAGCTAGCGGTGCGCTACAATGACATCTCTCCCCTGGAGAACCATCACTGTGCCGTGGCCTTCCAGATCCTGTCACTTCCTGAGTGTAACATATTTGCAAACGTGGATTCAGAGTCTTTCAAACAAATCCGACAGGTGACTACGACTTAAATGCTAAGCAAATATCTTGGGGTAAAAAAAAACATGCACAAAATTTAAATCACTTTTTATTTATTTTTCAGGCAATTATCACCCTGATCCTGGCCACTGACATGGCCCGACATGGAGAGATACTGGACTCCTTCAAGCAGAAAGTGGACAACTTTGACTTTACAAATGAAGAGCATGTGACTTGTGTAGGTCCTTCCAGATCACATTACATCTCCATCTGACCACTGACGTTCACACAGAGACCCTTAAATCCCGGAACAAGGGAGTCTTTTTTTCTGCGTGTGTCCTGTAATCAGAGGAGTGAAATGAGATTAGAAATATATTAGGTTATGAGTGAAGAAGCTCAGCTACACCTTCATTCCTTCAGTGGATGTTAAAAGACATCGTTGATACAAACAATAATCAGACTTCCGTGTCCTACGTTTTGGTTTGGCCTCTGCCCAAGTTTATGGTTTGTTTTTGTTTTGTTTTCTAGCTGAAGATGGTTCTGATCAAATGCTGTGATATTTCCAACGAGGTGAGGCCAACTGAGGTGGCTGAGCCGTGGGTGGACTGTCTCCTGGAGGAGTACTTCATGCAGGTGATCCCAAAAATACAAATGTGAATTCTATTTCTACATTAAAGTCTTATCACAATCAGATGGAATAAAAAAAAATCCTTTCCAGAGTGACAGAGAGAAGTCCGAGGGTCTCCCCGTCGCCCCCTTCATGGACAGAGACAAAGTCACCAAACCCACTGCTCAGATCGGTTTCATTAAATTTGTCCTTATTCCAATGTTTGAAACTGTCATGAAGGTAATTCTCTGTCTTCAGTATGCAAAGCATCAGTCATTATTCTGTTTTTTTTTTTTTTTTGCAGCTAATACTCAATTCACTGTATTTGTCTTTCCAACAGCTTTTTCCTCAGATTGAGGAAATCATGGTTCAGCCTCTGAGAGACTCTCGTGATCACTATGAGGAGCTGAAACAGATTGACGACGCCATGACAGAGGTAGAACCAATTCTGTCTGCCTGACTGTTTTCGATTCTCTCTGTCCTTCAAGTTGTCTCATGGCAGGGTTACAGTAATAATGCAGTTAATGCTTTAACTCAGTGGTCCTCAACACCTGGGCCGTGGACCGGCACCGGTCCATGGGTCAATTGGATAAAATGCATAACTTGATTCTGAGTCATTTTATTTAGATGTATTTAAAGAATCCATTAAGGTCCAGCAAACCTAAGTATATATCGTTGGCTCTTCTAATCAACTGACCTTGGGTCTCTTTATTTATCGTTATTTATTTATAACCGCATAGTTAATCTCGATTAATCTTGAAGAGTCATTGTTATGCTCAAAATTTTATAATGAATTGAAAAAGAGTGTAGTACAACTTTGATTGAAAAACATTGTGAACAAAAGTACTTTCAACACAGGAGGTGAGTTGCTGGCATCAACGTTGTGTTTAGCATTTCCTGCAATACTTTCACTTTGAGTGATTACAGAAAATCCTTTCCCATCCATCGGGTAATAGTCGATGAAAGTCATTTTGTTATTTTCGCATCAATTTATTTCTGTGTTAATGAATTAACACCAAAATTAATTGACGCAGGAATAGCACGCGAACTTGCCCAGCCCTGATATTTATGTACAGATGTATTCAGCTCACTCAAAATGAGAGTCAAAATTGTACTTTTTACCAACCTTTTTGTATTAAAACCACAACTGTGCTATTATTCTCCAACTGAACTGTGAAAACAGCTTGTGTTGAACACGGCTGGGAAACAGACAGGTTTCAACCTGCAGACACGTAGCAAACAAAAACCAAAAGTGTCTCCTCTTTATGGTTGCAAACCTGACAATTTGCCTGTTAGGGCACGTCAAACTGAAGGTGTTGAAATTAAGAAGAAGGGATAAATAATGCAATACCACAGGGAGGTGGGTGTGGGGGGTGGGGGGGTTCCTGGGACAAAGAGAAAAACAAAAATAACTGTTTAGCTTCACATTTAAACTTGTCATTAAGGCAATTTTCAGTTGAGCTATTTATTTCACCTGGGTGGGATTCAGACACGCACACACGTGCACACACATGGGCAAAAAAGGGGCATTAAGGTGCACGTCAAACAACTTGCTAACATAAAGGTGTGTCTTTTGTTCAATGAGGCACAGAAGAAAAAAACTGAAAATATGTCATTAGGCGGGAAGAAGAAGTAAGCTCTGCAGAGATTGAGTGCAGTGGTATCTGTGTAAGTAAAAGTGACTGACTCCTTGGTTGTGCTTTGGTGTTTAGTGATAGTGTCACGAGTGCTCTCTGTCTCTGCCTGGCTCCGACCTCTCCACAGCAGCTCTCCTCTGTAACGCTCGGCTTTCTCTACAAACACCTCCAGGAATGTGCAGCACTCTCATCACTTTGGGTTGAAAATGAAAATATTGTTTCGACCACTTTGGAGTTGAACCGTGAGAAGTCAGGCACCCTTGGAGTGTAGAGAAGAAAAGCCAAAACAAAAAAAAAGTAAAAAGACGAAGTTAGTGAGATATCGAACATCAACTAACATCGATATCTGATTTCTTTATATTCCATAAAATAATCATGGAATTTTACAGAATTGACCGAGATGCTTAAAAGCAAAGTGATGAAGAATTTTATAACAACAAAACAAAATGTCCTATTCTTAAAATGACATGACAGTCTCCCAAACTTCTAAACTTTTCTCCAGAAATAAATAAAAATAAATAATATTGGTGAGGTGTAATTAAGTTTTGACTTGACTCCTTGAGTGAAGTCAACTCTTGCTTCAGCTCTGTGTGGGGGTCAAACTGAACCTTTTTTTCCTATAAACACTCAGTGTAGTGTTATTTTTCCTTCAGCCGTACAGTGGAGTGTAAAGGTTTGGGGCAGCTGTGAAGAAAATGCTGTAAAGTAAGAATAATCCAATTATTAATTCAATTATATTAACAGGACAATTTGAGCAAACACTGTTGAAATAACACTCAAATAATTTCTTGTAATTTTTTGAATTACACTTACACATCATACCAGCGCATTGTAGGCAAAGAAAAAAGTGGCACATTTTCTGGTATTGGAGTCAGGTATATGATCTGAGAGGGTTCTGGTGGTAGGGTTCCTCTTGTTCCATCTGCCAACACACATAGGACACCATTCATCCATTCATGATCAGGAATATAATTTAACCAGACGACACCAACAAACAGGTGATGAAGAAAGTCATTTCTGTGAGCAGGTTGAAAGACGGTCACTACCTAAAAACAGAAACAGTTGTGAAGACGGTTTGATACTTAGGGTTGGTAAAAGACAACCAAGTTTAGGTTGTAGAAGACAGACTCATGTCAAAGGTCATCCACCACGGCAGGACTGAGCACAGCAACAGGGCCCAAGAAATGGGATCAACCCTAAGGAATGTGAATTCAGTGGCTGGACAAGAAAAGCTAGTGAAGCGCTAACGGAAACAGCTAGTCAAATGCCTAACCACCTACTGTCCAGAGAAGACTTTCTCTGGACATTGGCTCCAACATGCGAAACGTGAAACCCAAAAATATAGTACCAGTAAATTTTGTAATATTTCTTGTTTGATTTTTCCATGAAGCGCTGACTTCATCAGGCATCTGAAATTTGTGAATCAGGAACGACTGTATTGAAGCGTCTCTAGTAAAGTTCTTACTTTACAGCATTTTTAATCCCCTAAAACCTTTGCACAACATTGTACGTGTTTTTTTGTTTTGTTTCTTTTAAATCTGCTTCATCGCGCCATCTTCAGGCTGGAGTTGGTCTAACGCCTAACTTTTGTGTAATTTCCAGGGCTCCTCTTTCGTGATCAAATTCAAAGACTTTAAAAAGACTTGAGGCGGCCCTCAGTGAAGACATTCTGGGCTGCGTTCTGGAGGTGACAGACGCAGCAGGAGGAGTTGACGAGAGACAGACTGCTTGGCTACACACTGAACTAAACTTAGGCACCAAAGTGGCATATCTTGAACTTTGACTTAGACTTTTGCACTGGATGTTACAGAGAGGCACCTGCTGACCTCGCTGCATATTTATGGTGTTGATGTTGTTCTAACTCTGTTCATAGCGCCTCAAGAGTTTCAACCACCAGTTTCTTGAAAATCCACTTGAGATCAATTTTAATTCCATGTAAGGAAAAAAAAAAAACAACAACAGTAACAACAGCGGCTGCAGAATTGACCACAGACTGACACCAAAGGTCTGGGAGGAAAGTTCCCAACGACTACAAATGCACCAACGTAGGTTGTGTTGACCAAACTGCAGCAAAACGTCATAACTGGCAGGGTGCACTGAAAGATTTTCCAAAGAAAAATGCAGCGTCTCACCTGCTTTTTGGATCACACATTTACTTACAAAATGTGTAGCTTTAGAGAAAAAAAAAATCTAAAAGTCACATTATAGTGTGGTGGTTGTACATTATCCAAGATGTTACACTGTTTGTCCAATAAAAAAAAGGTTTTAATATCACAATACTTTAGGAGTGAGAGGCGTGTTTGTTATTCCTTCACACATATTAGAGTGCATTATAACTTTATATGTTTGTATAGACACAGTTTAGAAGAGAACTCAGAGGTAACGAATCAGTGAAAAGAGAATGGAAGGTCAGACAGTGAAGACAGCAACAGAGATGTTGACTGGTGGTGGAGCTGAGGATCTGGAGGCTTCTGTGGGAGTGACCAGGATGGATAGGATCCAGGATCAGTAACTGTGTACTTTCTTGTCAGGAGAAACTACATTTGTACTTGTTCATTTCAGACAGATACTGCAGTAGTATTAGTAGGAAACACAGTTCAGGACCCCCACCTGCTGAAATGACTTGTTTTGCAGACATTCCAGGCGAATTCACCCTCTCAATCCATCATTATTTTACAAGCACACATTTTCCACTTTGGCCTTTACAATACAGCCAACATGTGTTGAAATATATCAGGTTTCGTAATTACATACCACCCAGAGGTGGTACTTATCTCACCTCACCCCCTCTCTCTTCCCACACCTCCCCTTGAGTCATATCAGATAAGGGTGAGGATTTTTTGGGTGGTTTTCCTCCAGCTCCACCACAGAGATTTATTACTGTTTTTAGAAACATGTTGCCAATTAATCCTGAGTGGTTGTTGCTTCAGCAGCTGTCCTCATCTCACACTCACACTTACCACCAACGTCGCTCTTAGGAGAATTTATACAATGATATACAGTTGTTTTAATCCAGACATTTTAACTATCACTGAAGAAATAATGGTTTTAGCTAAAAAATAAAAGATTTGAATTGAAAAGCAATAACATAACAACAATAACAAAATTGTATTATCAGAGCTAACGCTGCAGTATATAAATATTATGTAAATGTTGTTTATCAGTGTATTTCAAAACAGTGCATAGCAAAATTTGTTTAACCGATAGTTGACATAAATTGGCATAAATGTATTCAATAGTCAAAAAAGTCATCTGGTCTACTGTGTGCTGGGTACACCGCTTGTCTGTGCCAGCACTGTGATAGCTAACATTAGCTCTGGTAGTCAGCGTTAGCGTTAGTGTCTATATCAGAACTGTTGTAGCTAATGTTAGCTCTGGTGTCTTAGCCTGGACTGTAGTACCAGCCAGAAAAAGAGAACCGCTTTAATGCTTTCAAACACATCAATTTGACTTTAATGAATCGTTAAAATGATTCTGTTAAAGTATATTCTATATTCTTTCTTTATTTATTTGAATAAGACATCTGTGTGATCCATGACTGGTCGATGTTCCCATCAGTGTGTCAGTAATTATGAAAGTCACCCAGACTTGAACCAGATTAAATATTTCGCCCACTTCTACTCCGTGGCTGTTGTCTCGTCTCTCTGTAGATTTCTTTCCATTTATCCAAGTTTAATTAGAGTAACTGATATCTAAAGCCTTTTAGTCAATGTCTTTGCCTTGAGGCTGGGTGTCACGTCTTGTTAAACTGCCACAGTGCTTCAATAGGCCGGCGTGTTACTGTGAAAGTGTACACTGTATGTGTTACAAAGCCGGCTGGTTGATAAAAGAGCGATTGTTTATATGTTTTTCCTGTGGGATGTGATGATATCAGTGCTGCATTCATCAGAAGGTGTGGCATTTTCGACGCGACATTTGATCAGAGCCTTCTGACCTCATCAAAGTAAATTACAGTCTTATTTGTTATTCTCAAAGGACTGCAACAGCTCTGTACGAAAGCACGTGGAAAAACGAAAAACTACATTGAAAATGTTTAAAATGAATAAAAAGGGTTAAAGTAATGGGAAAGCCAGTGATTTTTTTTTTCATGCAGTTAATTCACTTTGACCACAGCTGATAGAGAGCAGAAGGCATGACACACATAATCACATATGCAGATGACTCCATTATTTACACTTTTCTAGCAACGAAACTTAAACCCTAATCAAATAAAAGAAACACAGATTCTTGTGAATTTTAAAGTTTTGTCTCTTTTCTTTCCTGCAGCTCCACTGACACTGTGAAGGTCAGAAGAAACGAGGAAGATCTTCACTGCTGCTCTCTCTCATCTCCATCAACCCTTAATCTTCTTGTCTCTCACTGCCTCTGTCACGGTAAGGAAGTGCAAAAGGAAACAGGAAATTAAATCATGGGTAAGAGGGGGGAGGGAATTGTAATTGGGAACACCTGAGATCAAAAAGAGAGGGAAACTCAAACTGGGAGGAGAGGAGAGAACAGCAGAAGAGAGGAGCGAGAATGTAAAAGAAAGGAGAAAGAAACACACCAAATGGAGTTCAAGTGAACTTTAACCAAAGAATCTGAAAAAGAAAAGGGTGAAACCAGGACCTTTGAAGAGGAAAAAGTGGAACCCTTGAGCAGGAGGATCTGTGCAGTTTGGACATTTCTGTTTCCAACCTCTGGTCGGACCCCTGCCTACAGATAAGTCCCCTTTCACCTAACCCACGCTCTCCTGGCTTTTCCACAGTCTTATGCGGCTCCTTCCTTTGCCATAACCACTACACACACACGCTGATTTGTGCAGATATATATATTTATATTCATCATATAGCCAGAGAACTGTTTCTGTTCCTGTTCTCTTGCTTCTTCTTCTTGTTTTTTACTCTTTCCTGATAAACGTCAAACAGATTCTAAACAGAGACCTGCGCCAGAATTGGATTTGTGAACTGTACAAATCAAATCAGTTTGTCCTGAACTAATAAAAACACTCTGGTCAAAGGTCAAAAACACAATCTAAAGGAGATTTGTTGAAAACACAAACACAGGCTGAGTTACAGTTCAGCCTTAGGAAAAACACAAATGTGTTTCTTTGTCCACTTTGTCTCCATCTGTCTCTGCGTTTTCGTTTCCTCCGCCATGTGGAATTTACCAACTGCTGTAAAAATGCAGGAGCAGAATTTGGGGTTTACTCTCACTTCTCACCTTTGACCTTTGCCCTTTCTAAGCAGGGACTTTACTGTGCTGGGGTTAAACACGGCTCGTATCCACTGGTCAAACATGGAACGGGGAATTCTTGGGAATGAGAGTCAGAGTAAAGGGGGACATCGCCGCTGTTTTTACTGCCTTCTCCAACAAGCCAGGCTTTGTCTGTTATGTGTTTGCTCACATGAAACGGGTCTGGGCCATACAGTTGTCTGGTCCGCAGCAAACAAACCCATGTGGCTCAATCTGTGGTCCAACAAAGGATAAATGTCAACCTTTGTGAGTTTTCACTCATTTTGGGAAGTTTGGTTCAGCTAAAGAGTGTGTGCTTCCTTACAGATGCTTAGCAGATAACCATAAAGCTGGAGGAACATCATGATGGACAGATTAATGTCAGGGAGTCATAAAGAGTCAGGTAGGAGTTCAGGCCGAAACATGTGTTTTATATTTTATACCGTTTCCCATGAGTGAGCCTTGGATCATCTCAGGCTTCCTGCTGCAAGACTTTAACTTTAGAGCACCTGATGATGAGCTTAAACACACACACACACATTCCCGACCAACCTCTGTAAGATCTAGTGGGGAGGATTTCTCCACAGTGTGGTTTGGCCTTGGAGAGTTGGGGAATAAGAACAGAAGAGAAGTTAAAATCAGAGAATCTAAAGTATTTTTTTTTTGTCATTGGAAAGAAAATCTTCAAAAACCTGAGAATCAAGATTTGTACTGAGGAGTTTGAAAAATGGAGCTTTACAAAAATACTCCAAATAAACTCCATTATTCTTCAGAGAACACTGCACACGACAGACAGTTCCCATGAGGCTTTTGAGCAAGCACCATGGGATAAACATCAGTGAAATGTAGGATTTCTCTAAAGTTCTCAAAGTTTTTCTATACTAAAAAAACTGTTTCATGATTTCAGATTAAACCACTTGTAGCTAGAGTATAGGTTACGCCTAAAATTGTCCAAAAATCTTACTTGCATAGTACCTAAATGTTAGTCCAGAATTTGATTAGAAATAGCAAAAATAGCTTGTAATCCCTAAACTATACTGAAGTTAGCACAAGTACCATGTATGAAAAGAGGAGAAAGAAAGGAAAAGTCAGTCTGCCAAAAATATTAATATTAATGAAAAATTAAGTGCAGGTTTTTTCACTTATTAACCTATAGGTTAGCCCAAAAGACAACAAAAGGTTAGCACAGTACTAAATCATACTTAGCATGCTAAAGGCTAATTGTTTTATGTACATTGGAGAGTGATGCAATGACAATATTGAGAAAAAAAATTGAATTCAGGAGTCATTCACCCATATAACTATTGGTGACTAAATTTTTCCCATAATGCAGTGCACCCACACAACCTAAATGCATGCTTGCAGAACCTCTTTACAGACACAGTACTCCACTAAGTTTTTCCTAGTCTCATAAATCGTCTTCACAAATGAGTAAATCAATGTTTTTTAATGAGAAGTCAGAAGAACACGCATTAGTCTGAGGAGCTTTTAAGAACCAAGACGTCTTAAAAGCGATGGAGAGTAACACGAGAAAGAGTTTCCATACAGCTCTGTCCATTTATTTCCCCATTTCTGCAGGAGTCAAGTCAAAACAGGCTCCGGTCCCAGAGAACAAACATTTACAGCACTCTAACATTTCAGACACAACACGGTGTCTGTGCTGCTTGAAAAAATAAAATGCATATTTTATCATTCTCATCAACATTCCTGTGTATCCTACACAAACTAGATAAAAAGAAAAAAAAGGTTCGAGTTGGATCAAATTACAACGCAGTCTGTGAACTCTTCAGGTTTACAGTTTTCAGTGTCGACTGATTCTTGTTGAATTAAATAGAAAAAAAAATTGCATTTTTTAAACAACTTACTGTCTTCTTAAACAATGATGTCTCTGTTGCACATTTTGTGTGTGAGTCAAATCTGTCTTCCTTTGACCCCTGGAGGTCAAAGGAAGACATTTTTGCCCATTAACCTCTGACCTGGGGACAGCAGGGTGAAAGTAATTGACACTGTGGCAATTTTTCAAGTTTCAACATTTCACTGAGAGCATGTGTTTTCACTCCAGTTGGAACTGACAACCAATTCACAGTATTTATTTTTTTTATTATGCTGAAATTCTCAGCGTCTACTGTAATTTGAAAAAACTCCCCTTTTTTCCCTGTTGTGTTCTCGTGAGTTTTCAGGTGTTATGAGCCACTAAATCATTGTTCTACCCTGTCATCATCAGAACTCTCCGGAACATCAAAGAAGGTACAGTTGACTTTGGCAGACAGTTTCCTGCCGACAGTTATCAGCCCTTCATTTACCAATAATTCACCGAGTGTCAGTGTGGCTGCCACAAGCACTGGCCTGTACACTGTCAGGATATGATAATGTCATAAATCCAGTCCTGTTTGTGAAGGTATTGTGTCATCGGTGGTGGAACAAGTGTGAGGGAAAGTCAAAAAGATCTGAGATACTTTGTTTTTTAAGATTTGACACAGATGGGAAAATAGAAACTGTTAGGACAGGTCTCTGTTTTGTAAGTTTGTTTACGTCATCAGTCCTGTTAAAAAATATTGACGTTAAACAAGTGGTTTCTGACTTTTTTTTGGCTTGTGAACCCATTTGGACCTTTCTGACATTTTAGTAACTGTCCCGTGTGTCATGTGCCTGCAGCTGTCAATCAAGATGCTGGCCAGCTTAGTTATTTTTATATGCTCCATTTCATTTGAACTCAACTATATTCATAAAATATAGTTGAATATGGTTGTTTAAGATTGTGTGTGGTTTTTCCTTTTAATTTTACAGTATTTGTCTTTATCAATTACTATACAATTCAGGCGACCCCAATTTCAATTCCAGGCGGTGCCACGTGGGGTCGTGTCCCCTAGGTTGAAAAGCACTGTGTCAAACATATGTCAATTGGAATTCCTACCAAAGGATAGACTTAAAAATAT